AGGTCGGGAGGATAGGTTTTGGTGTACACCAATAAGAGAGAATTTTATTAAGTAATGTCTATGCTCTGTTACAGCAGTAGGCTAGGTATTTATACAAGTTTAAGGGCATAACTAATCAGCTTAACAATAACTAGCCGTTGGTTAAAGCCTAACAACCAAAACAGCCTTACCACCAAAAACTAGCCGTTGGTTAGTTTTAAGCCTAACAACTAACTAATGACTAAAGTAGTCCGTTGGTATGAATATCAAGGCTAACCACCCTACATCAGATTTCCTTAAAGGGGATTGTCCACGGAGGAGGTTACAAAAGCCCTTCCAGTCAGTCGTAATTACAGAACTTGTATGTATGGACTAGCAGTAAGAAATCTGAAAATGCTTAAGCTCCCATGTCTTGCCCACTATAACTCTTTTTTCTTTTTGTTCCAAACATTTCGAAGCAAAACAAAAGAGTGAATTGGCACCCATCAAGATCAGCTTTGTCTCTGAGAGACGGAGCATGAATGATCCCTTCAAAACAATCCTTTGAAGATTGACGCATAGACCAACTGATGCCCGCAGAGGTTCACCACACATTACTAACAAACTGGCAATGGAAGAAAAGTTGTTCCCCGCTTTTCCCCATCCTTGAACTCTGTGAATCGTGTTAATTTTCTCAAAGTTGAGGTGGTTACCTGCCAAGAAAGTTATCCCCTTTGCAGACTTTAGACTTTCATATTCTCCTGCTGCTGGTAGGGGGAATATACGACTGTCCTTGATGATATATGATGGTGAGGGGACCTGTTTGAGAATCGACCTGAAGCCAGAATTCTAAATTATGCATCTTGACAGAGAAACTGTCAGGTCTCCCATGATTAGAAGATAAGCCCATTCAGAATTGTTGATTCCTTAATTGATTCGAACGGTCATAAACTGCTTCAATGGTTTGGTGTTTACTAGTGGAAAGAGCAATACAATCGGGAAATTTTGATATTCTTAGGAAGAACCCCATCCACCAATTATCCCAAAATCTGACTTTATCCTCCTTTTCCAACTTTAAAGGACGAATGGTCATAGGTGACTATGAGCTTGGGTAGACTAATAATCACTTCATTGCTCCTTTTATCTAAATCAACATTTCCCTTTTGGTTTTGGCTAGACACCAAAGCTGTTGATGAAACATGCATGCTTTTACTTCTTGCTCTTGCTTAGAGGGTAATCTGTCTTCTTAAATATTATTATTTTTGTTGTTATTATTGTTATTATGTTTCTAAATGTTATCAGGTCAAGGAAAAGGATTCGATATAGATCTAGTAAAGCTGATATCAGATTCTGTTAGCATACCCGTTATTGCCAGTAGTGGAGCTGGGTCTTCTGACCATTTCTCTGATGTGTTTAACAAAACGAATGCTTCTGCTGCTCTTGCTGCTGGAATTTTTCATCGTAAGGAGGTACTACCCGAGATTCCTCATCCTAGTTATACTTACAGATTCCTGATGAGTTGATACCATGTTTTAACCTTGATTTTCGATTTATTTAGAAGAAAATTCTTGTTTGATTTTATCAAGTTTCAAACAACCTTTGCTCTTGTGACTGTATACACCTGATTGTTTGGGAGCATGTGACTAAATCCTTGATGTTAATTTTATGTAAATACTATAGGACATTCAATTCAAATCACTCTCTGCTGCCTTGGACTTAGGAAAATTGTTATGAAACCTTAGAATTGGGTCTAATAACCTTGCTGAGTAACGAGACCAGAATTCAATCTCAAAAACCCCGGTGCTCGACTTGACTATGAAAGAGTAGACTCTTCTCAGCTTGTATTCACTTGGATTATGTTGGAGGTTCACCGTTAGTTTATGATTAACCGTTTGCAAATATTCTCCATTTATTTAGATAAATAAAGCCAAGTGGTTTAAAAATTAGCTCACTTAGCTAAATCTGAGATATAAAACCATCAAGAAATGACTTAACGATCAATAAGGGCCAATGTAAATAGTAAAAGACTTGAAGGGAATGAAATCAAACCATGGTGGCCACCTACCTAGGATTTAATATCCTTCGAATTTCCTTGTCAACCAAATGTAGTAGGATCAAGCGATTGGTCGTGATTAGTTAAGGTGTGCACAAACTAGCCCAGACGCACGGATATTAAAAAAATAAAAATAAAAACTGAATCCGAGATGTACTGGTGGTAATATCTTTCAATTCAATCTTACCCACCTCAGTCAAATTCTCACAAAGATAGCCACAAGATTGAAGAAACTGTAGTGCAGTTGGCAGCTGTATCTGGAAATCTGCTATCATTGCTGCAGTCTGCACTACAAAAGATATGGAACTAGGCCAATCTTGTTGCCGCTTAACATGTCTGAGGTGCCAGGAGCAGCAAAGCCCGACATTTTTATAGGGAAGGAAGATAGAACGAAAACTTTAAATCTTCTTTTGTACATTTTTAATTTAGGGTAGCTCCGCTTCGAGCAGGTGTTAGAGTAATTTTTGCTCATGGGGATTGTCTTTTTGTCTTTTTTTTTATATTTCTTTTTTGGGATTCAAACCTCTGACATTTTGTACGATGATATATGTCTTAACAAGTTGAACTATGCAAAATTGTAACTCCTAGGGATTGCTGGACTATATAAAATATATATTTTTAGTATTTTTCCAGCATTGAACTAATTTTGTGATGGCATAAGAATAGCTCAGTGATTAAGACATCTTGCTTCTACATAGAGGTTGGAGGTTCAATCCCTCGTTTCCACGTCTATTGTATTAAAGAAAAAGAAAGAACTAGTTCGCTCTGTCTAAACAATTCAATATTGTGGGTTGCAGGTGCCGATTCAGTCCGTAAAAGAGCATTTATTAAAGGAAGGCATAGAAGTGAGAATCTAACTACATCAATCTATAAAAGCTCTTTGCAGCAGAGGCATCAATTTTGATGATTGCTAAAAGGCAAAAGGTTTGAATACAACATTATTTGGTGCTTAATACTTTCTGATTTTGCTGTAATGTAGTTTACTTGTTGCTTTAATTCCAAGCCCACCTTTTTAAGTTGATAATTATTTCAGCAATTAAATTAGATGAATAGACAATGAACTTGCATTGACTTCATATAATATTTAGTTTGATGACGCCTGCCATTTCAATGTTCAAACTGAGCAGATGAACAAAATTTTACCCACAATTTTAGATTATTACTTTCTTGTAATTGTTCTTTGTTAATACATTTTAAATGTTAAAATAACTTTTTATGTTTTTTTTTCTCAAAAAGGAGAAGAATACTTTGATGTAGAAGCCTTACATTTTGCTAAATTTCTCTCTAAACATGTATTCTTTGTCCGTTGGTTTTTTCCTTTTTTCTAAACATTAATACTTTTTTGGGAAAACTTTTGTATGGACTTGGAGTCGAGTGGACAACGCATCAATTACTGCCTTCCTATCTTTAGTTGTATGCTATAAAGTTGTTTATCTTATATTACTTCAGGCCTACGAGGCTACAACATACTTTCTAAAATATTTTTCAACATTTTCTAAAATCCGTTTTCAGACTAAGTTCTCTGAAAAATGTCGGTGGAGGTTGCATTATAGTCCAGTTGTGTCATCGGTAGTCTTGTTTTAAGTTGTTGACTTGCTTGTGGGTTGAAACAAGTGTCTCGATGAACAAAAGTAAGTGCGTAACAATTGAATTCCTCTAGTTAGATTGCAATTGTGACTGGTTAATATCAAAGTCCAAGCCTTGATTAAATTTATTCAATAACTCAATTCAAAGTTATTCACTCAGAACTCAAAATTATGCTCACATGGTCAGCAATATTATACCTACAATTCCAATCACTACATATGAGTCTCATATATCCCAATGATCTTCTAATGAGCCACTAAGCCACTAATCATAATTTACTCAGAAATTCATCTTGGTCATAAGAGGGTAAACACAAACCCAAACCAGGATCATTCGAAGAGATTCTCATCTACTTTCCACAGACAAAAAGGAGAAAATTCAATCATACGATGTCTTGAACCTTAAAAGATGAATTCTACCTTGTAATGTCGTGGCCCTCAAAGTAAAAAATATAAC